CATGACATTTTTTTCATCTGGGCAGTCCGATCGAAAATGTTTTTATCGGTTTTTGCATGGTTTCAAGAGAGCTTTAACGTGATAGTAAAAAATTATTGGTCAACTCTTTCCTTAATGTTTTTTCAAGGTTACCTTGAATTTTTTGCAACTGAACATGTCATTTTTTTACGCTTGTCTGTTAGAGGATTTCAAGACGAATTCGGCACATGTAAGGACATGACATTTTTTTCATCTGGTTCGAAAGAAAATTAAAAAACTTTGTATCACAAGGAGAATCACAGCTACGCCGTTATTACGCAACCAATGTTGTTGACAAGTCAAAATTTACCAACCTTAATTGCAGCGATGTTCAAAATGGTGTCCACGAACTGCAATGCACTCGCGTAGACGGTGTACAAAAGATTGTTTTGCATTCTTTATGGCCTCTACACTGATGGTTGAGCATGCATCCGCAATCCTTCGTCGCATATTTTCCGGTGTTGTTGGAGCTTGTGATACAAAGTTTTTTAATTTTCTTTCGAACCAGATGAAAAAAATGTCATGTCCTTACATGTGCCGAATTCGTCTTGAAATCCTCTAACAGACAAGCGTAAAAAAATGACATGTTCAGTTGCAAAAAATTCAAGGTAACCTTAAAAAACATTAAAAAAAGAGTTGACCAGTAATTTTTCACTATCACGTTAAAGCTCTCTTGAAACCATGCAAAAGCTGATAAAAACATTTTCGATCGGACTGCTAATAACAAAGTAATCTCTACTGATCACGATTCGTGATTCACCCTGTATAATAACTAGGGCAACACGCCCGCTACCGCGCGCGGCTGAACGTCTGTTTGCGCTGTAGCGCTCTGAATAGAACTATACTATCACACTGTACAATTGTACATAATTACGATCTGCTTGTTAAATCATGTATGGGCCAACCAATCACAGCCAGTTTCCGCAGTAGCAATAGCTCGATTGGTGAATTCTGCTGAATCATCCGCTGTGATTGATTACAATATGTGCGTTAGCAAAGCATCTTTGCACTGTCCAATTGTGTATTACAAAATTAAGTAACTATAATTTAATCATTCAAATCGTGGAACGATCAATTAATATGAAAACAGCATTGGAGTTCTAAGCTATCTTAACCTTACCTAGCTATTTAGCATTGCATACTATTGTGTAGATATTATCACGACTAATTTTATAATGAAATGACTATGAGCATTAGCAATAATATAATAACGAACGCGTTGATGTTGTACCATCATGATCATGTACTCTAAAATGGAATTCACGCGGGAAGCTAATTATTTCAATTATAATTTAATTATTTCAATAGACACGAAAAGCTAGTTTTTTTAAAAGCAAAGAATATTTAAGGGTTTACATACTCACCTATTTTTTTCATAAACGACATCGTTTGTAATCACTTCTTTTATCAGAAAAAAATAACCTACAACCTGTCATTCACGAGCAGATTCTATTCCACATTTTTTCGACTTACAAAAATAGTGTCTGAACTGCAAAGAATAAATTTTTGCATACTTTTTTGCTATTACAAATTATTGTTAAGCTCTTTCGTTTTTTCATTTAATCCGCCGATCGAAGAACAACAAATACTACGGAAAAATATATTTTTCACGCAATTCTATAACGCGGTTCACTGCTTTTTCACGAAATAATATTAAACGCACAATGTTATGATTTTTTCTTTAATAAAAATTAAAATAAACGGGTGCCCTACGATAACCCCAATCTGTCAAACTGTATGTTACGTACATACATGCCGTGAACTTGGACACGAAGCGCCGATGCTGTGACACTCGTCGACCGACGACACCGACAGCCAATCACGAACCAAATAAAGCGACAACAATGCTAATATCGCAATTCGATAAAATGTAACATGACTTTTTTAGAATAAGGATTATCGAATCGCGTGTAAGATTTAAAAATAATAACCCAATATTATTTATTAATCCTTCCTAAAACCTGTGTGTGTAAATGTAGTCAAGTCTTGGGCTAATTTTCTTATAAAAACGCATTAGTGAATTCAGTCATGAATCCGCTACCAACCACTGGGCTACACTCGCCTCTGGAAAACTGTATTCTCTCATTAACCTGCGTGAAGTTGGCCGGCCAACTTTTATTTTTTTGAACTTTTTTTTATTCTAATCGTTTGATAGTGTTTGATAGTCTTGTAAAAACGTTTTATAGTCAATAGTCTTTTCAGAAAATCAAAATCAAAATCTGGTGTGAAGTTGGCC